TGTTTCTGTGCCATACTGTTGTTATTGATTGTTTATTACATGCCTATCTTCTCCTGGTTAGACTGTGAACTCCTTAAGGGCAAATGTCTTACTATAGCACAAAACCTAGCACATAGTTGAAATTTACTAAATGTCTGCCAAATAAATGAGTGAAATTATCACACTTTGGAGTCCCTGGGCAGTGCAAACAGTCAACATGCTCACCTGCTGACTGAAAGGTTGGAGGTTCAAATCCACCAGAAGTGCCTCAGAATTAAGGCCTGGTGATCTACTTCTGAAAAAAATCAGCCATTGAAAACTCCATGGAGCAACTTCAGTTCTCCTCTGACACACATGTGGCCACCACCAGTTGGAATCAACTTGGTACTCATCGCTGTTGAGTTCTTTCAGACTCATATCCACCCTACAGGAAAGAGTAGAACTGTTCCATAGGGTTTCCAAGGCTGAATTGTTTATAGTAGCCGACGGTCACATCATTCTCAGCTGGTGGGTTTGAACTGCCAGCTTTTCAGTTAGCAGCTGAGCACTTAACGACTGTACTGCTAGGTTTATTTATCCATTCGATAGCAGCTGTTGACGTTAACAACAACAACAAAAAAGTCTCAATTTAGTTCAACACCAGAAATCACCTGATATATACAGCTGCCTACTGCAGGCTCCTACTGTGCTACTGAAAAATGACTTCCTTAACAATAAAAGAACCCTGCCAGAGGCACCTAAATCCAGTTCCAGACTGCATCGAGGAAGGAGGGAGGGCTGAGCTTAAAAAGTGTTCTGTGTGTAAATACATGGACAGAGACACAGGGTATGGGAGGAGGAGTGGGATATATATATGTGAGTTTGAAAGAGGATATTTGTACATGGGTAACCAACCACAGGGAAGAAGAGGACAACTAGTGTTGCATGGAAGGGATTGCAATCACTTAGATAAAACAAAGTGTAGAATTTGTTGAATGTAAAACTATTGATCTTGTTTGTAAACCTTCACTCAATTCACAATAAAAAGTTAATAATAATTTTAAAAATACGTAAATGGTGATATCATGGGGGGGAAAAGTTGTTGTAAAGACATCACTGCATTCTTCTCAGTTTTCCCACCTCCTCTAATGACACCATTCTAAGCACAAGCCATTTATGCCATAGGATGAGATGGTTACGAGGGTCTGCAAGGTTGTATGCTTTCTCTGTTTGCAGCTGGTGCTGCATGCTTTTCTGACTTCAAGCTGAGTGTGGCGTTCTGAGCATACTATGCTAGATGTGCTCAAAGTGGGACCCAAGGATCCCTGGGAATCCTCAAAACCCTTTCATGAAGTCTGCAACTTACCACCTTCTCCAACCACACATTTCTGTGAGGCAGGATTCTTTTTCACAGACATCAGTCAAAACAATTTACTGTAGTTGTTGTTAGGTGCCAACAAGTTGGTACTGACTCATAACGACCCTATGCACAACAGAATGAAACACTTCCTGATCCTGGGCCAACCTCACAATTGTTGCTACGTGTGAGCTCATTGATGCTGTCACTGTGCCAGTCCATCTCGTTGGGGTCTTCCTCTTTTTCTCTGACCCTCTGCTTTACTAAACATGATATCCTTCTCCAGTGACTGGTCACTCCTGACAATATGCTCGAAGTATGATAGACAAAGTCTGGCCATCCTGGCTTCCAAGGAGCACTCTGGCTGTTCTTCCAATACAGATTAGTTTGTTCTTTGGGTAGTCTGTGGTACTTTCAATATTCTCCCCCAACACCACATCTCAAATGCATCAATTCTACGGTCTTCCTGTCCAACTTTCACATGCATATGTGGTTTTTGAAAATACCATGGCTTGAGTCAGGTGCACCTTAGTCCTCAAACTGACTGAAATCTTTGCTCTTCAATACTTAAAGAGGTCTCGTGTGGCAGATTTGCCCAATGCAATACGTCATTTGATTTCTTGACTGCTGCTTCCATGAGTGTTGATTGTTGATCTGAGCAAAATGAAGTCTTTGACAACTTCAATGTTTTCTCCATTGATAAGAATGTTGTTTATTGGTCCAGTGGTAAGGATTTTTGTTTTCTTTACACTGAGGTGCAACCTATACCTAAGGCTGTGGTCTTTGCGTGTCATCAGTAAGTATTTTAAGTGCTCTTGGCTTTCAGCAAGCAAGGTTATATTATCTGCATATCTCAGGTTGTTAATAGTTTTCCTCCAATCCTGATGCCATATTTTTCTTCATATAATCCAGCTTCTCAGATTATTTGCTCAGCATATAGATTGAATAAATATGGTGAAAGAATACAACCCTATTGCACACCTTTCTTAGTTTAAAACATTCAGTGGTCCCTTGTTCTATACATACAACTGCCTCTTGGTCTATGTATAGGTTTCTCATGAGCACAATTAAAAGTGTTCCTTCATTTACTGTAGTTGTTGTTAAGTGCTGTCAAGTCGGTTCTGACCCATAAAGACCCAGTATAGGGTTTCTGAGGAGCAGCTGGTGAGCTTGAACCACTGACCTAGCAGTTCAAACAGCTTTGCATCCTGACACATTAGCCCACAGTACCACATCAGGACTCCGCTTATTGAAGTAGCAGTAGGAAATATGAGAATCTGCCTTCTGCTAAGTCAGACATTAATAAGTTTTGCAAAACTGTCAAGCAATGCCATTCCCTCAAAAAAAAAACAACAAAGAATTATTTTTCTTTTGGTATTGGAAATAGTTTTTAAAAAAATAATCAAAATATATAATTTATGTTAGCGTGCAATAGAGTTTATTGCCATTAAAATGTTTCTGTTTTAATTTCTTGTATGGTAAATTCTAATATAACACATTATTTGCATAATAATTTTCTTAATGGTATAAAGGGATCCTGAATTTTGAAAGTTCTGTAGCTAGACTGCATGATGCCATCGGGCCTTTGCTTCAGCTGCGTCCTGCCTGGAATACCAGTCCCTGCTTCCATGACGGATTGGCAAATAGTTATGTAACTATAAATATTTCCCTGACTCATCTCTTCTCCTGAGTCATTCATTCATGCTTCCAGTCTACTGTATCCTATAAACACAACTTTCATTTCTCATTTTCTAATGGATTGTTTAGGTATCTGCCTCTCTTACAAAGCCACACACTCTTTGAAAGCAGGAACCCTGTCTAATTCATCTCATGATTTCTGGTGCTAACCCAGTACTTGGTATAGAAAACATGACCAATGAGTATTTATTGAGTGAATGGAACAAAATCAGGACGCCTGATTTTCAGTCCTGTCTTTTCCACTAACAACTGTGTGACTTGGGGCAAGTCACTTGATTTCTCAGAGACTCAATTTCCTCATCTGCAAATTAAGTGGCTCACACTAGTTGCTCTCTAAGGTCACTTCCCCCACTGATATTCATGCCTGGGCTGAATAGTGGGCACATGCTGACTTGTAGTTAATATTAGTATGAATCCCATACATAAGTAGTTGACATTTTACCATGTTCAATTATATTAACTATTTGAGACCTTCTTTTCCTCTAACAAATTAAAAAATGGGAATTCTTATTGATTTTGCTTCCTGGTCTTCTTTGGGTGTGTGGTATCATGGCCCTCAGGTGAAAACTCTGGCTTTAGCCAAGCTTTCCTATATATTTACTGTGACATGCTTGACCTAGCTCAGCCCCAACCACATGCTCTTGTACAGTAATGAGAAAACCCCTTCTTATGGTGAGATGCAGTGGAAAGAAGATGTGTTGGTATGATAATTTTGTGTCAACTTGACTGGTCCTGGATTCTCAATGGCTTGAGAGTTAAGACATAATGAGATCTTATATAATGCAGTTTCTTTACTCATGGCGTGATCTGATGTGATCAGCCTTGATCTCATGTCATTATCCATGTAATTGTACATCCTCGCTTCTGGTGTGGTGCTGTAAGATAAGCACTAGACTGCTAACTGCAATGTCAGTGGTTCAAATCTGCCAGCCACTCCTTGGAAACCGTATACTGGGTTAGAACTGACTTGATGGCACTTAACAACAACAACAACATGATGTTACTGAGACCAGATGCAATCTACGGGATTAGGTTGTGTTTTTAGTCCATCTCTTTTGAGATACAAAAGAGATTAAAAAGGCCAGCTGAGCTCAGAGGGGGTGTATCCTTTGGATCTGGTGTCCCTGCGCTGTGAGTCTCCTAGATGCAGAGTAAGACTGATGTCAAGACACATGAAGAACTCCAAGGAATGCTGGGCCTAAGATGCTGAAAGGAGACCAAGATCTTTCTCTAGAGCTGGTGCTCTGAATTTGGTCTTCTAGCCTTCTAAATTGCGATAAAATAAGTTTATGGTTCTTAAAGTCATCCACTTGTGGTATTTCTGTGATAGCTCTATTAGATAACTAAGACAGTAGTGGTCACCACCACACGGATTGTGTGTCGTATAGTTGGTGCTGACTCATAGTGACCCTGTGTAGGGTTTCCCAGGTTGTAAATGGCGGCAAAAAAACCTTATCTTTCTCTTGCAGAGCAGGTGGTAGATTCGAACTGCCGGCCTTGTGGTTAGCAGCCCAGCTCATAACCCACTATACTACCAGAGCTCAACTAAGACAGTGGTTGTTGTTTAGTGCTATAGAGTCAGTTCTGACTCATAGCAACTCTGTATAGGGTTTCCGAGGAACAGATGGTGAGGCTGAACCACTGACCTTGCAGGTCAAACCCACCTTGCAGTCCAGCTCATTAACCCGCAGAGCCACACCAGGACTCAGTAGCGAAGTGTAAAAACCTTATGGGATTGCTGTGGCAACCACATGAAATCATGCATGTAGCCTAAGAGATTGGGGGATAGGAAAGTGGTTTGAACACCCCGGGTTATAGTACTCTGAATTCAGACTTCTAGCATCTCTAGTTGTGAGAGAATACAGTTCTGTTTGTATAAGCCATTTGCTTGTGGTATTTCTTTTATAGCAGCACCAGAAAACTAAGACAGTTGGATATATGTAGAAGTCCGTGAAGCTTGGTTCAAACAAAGATTTCATCCTCTTACCTTCCAGGAGCTGTCAGAGGCCCGAATGAGGTGGGACAGTAGGTCCTGAAGAATCACCATTTTCTGTTTTAGGATGAGTTCCCGTTGTAGGGCCTCCTGGGAAGACAGGGTTGGATGCAAAATGCAAGATCATGAGTTAAACTAGAGAAAGAAAGGAAGGGTGGGTGGATAAGTTAGGGGGTAAATTCACAGGTCACTTACTTTGAGATACTCGGAAAGCTGGATGATTTCCTGGAGAGAAAGAAAAAAGCTATTTAAAAAGATACTAACCCAAACCAAGCCAAACCTGTTGCCATTGAGCAGATTCCTACTCCTAGTGACCCTGTAGGATTGAGTAGAACCTCACCATATGATATCCAAGACTGTATGGGAACAGACAGCCTCATCTTTCTCCTGTGGAGCAGCTGGTGGGCTTGAATCACCAGTTATGTGGTTAGCAGGCCAACGCTTAACCCATGGTGCTACCAAAGCTCCTAAAATGATACTGATATTGTTCAGTGCCATCAAGTCAGTTCCGACTCATAGCAACCCTGTGTAGCGTTCCCAAGGAGCTGCTTGTGAGTTTGAACTGCTGACCTTGAGGTGGGAAGTCCAGTGCTTGTCCTACAGTGTCACACCAGGACTCTAAAGTGAAAAGAGAAACTCTGGAAGATGGAACCAGAGCTAGGTTTGTCTTGTGTAGTGTAGGGGAAAGATCTGCCTTGGCTCCTGGCAGGGTTCCTCTAAGCTCACATGTCTATTCTCAGTACCCTTTGCCCTCCAGAAAGAAGATACTCCTCATTCCAGCCTGAGTTTATTGTGGTATTCTAGAAAGTCAGAACTTGAAGGTGCTGATATACCAACTGACTGAACCCCTGTAAAGTAAGAATTTTCATACCTTATCCAGAACTGCAACTCCACAGCTGGGGGAAAAAAAGAAACAGAAGCATGACAACGGACCAAAGAAACAAGCATTCACTGGTTGACTGTTTCTGTGATCTCATCTGAAGATTCCAGAAGGTGGAGAACGGCTTCCTCTTTCTTAATTAATGTGGACACGGGAAGTCAGTATTCCTCTCCACATGCTGTGTTGTTGTTATTGTTGAGTTGGTTCCAACTCATAGCATCCCTAGAGTGGCTGGTAAGTTCAAACTTCTGACCTTGTGGTTAACAGTCCAGTGCTTACCCTACAGCACCACAAAAGTCCTCCACATGATGTGTTGTTGTTGTTGTTGTTGATGTTGTTAAGTGCCGTCGAGTCGGTTCCGACCCATAGCGACCCTGTACAGGGTTTCCGAGGGTGTAAATCTTTATGGGAGTAGAAAGCCTGATCTTTCTCCTGCGGAGCAGCTGGTAGTTTCAAAACCGCTGACCTTAAGGTTCGCAGCCCGATTCGTAACCACTACGCTACCAGAGCTCCTTGTGTGTAGGGATGTGTAAAAAGCTTGAAAACTAAGTAAGAAAGGAATGGTTTGGATGTAAGGTCAGGGGGGGACCCATGAAAGATACTCACGTGGTTTGCTGACTTGCATCATTCTTGATAGTTGGCGGGGTTGTTGCTGCCTTTGTCTGTGTGCCTGAAAGATAGAGGATGAGCTGATTCAGAATCCATTCAGGGAGAAAGGAGAGGCAATGGGGTAGGGCATGACTGAGTGAGGAGGCTCTGCTCTTACCACGGTGGCATTTGGGTGGCTTCTTAATGTGAGAGTTGTGCGATGGAAGGTCGTCCCCAGTCTGTGAGGAGAGGTGGTCAGCCGGATCCCTCCGGACACTATAGGGAGGTTGAGGCTGGGCTGGAACAATTTCAGAACTGGTCTCTGCCACCTGTCAAGTAAGTAAGGGGATGCTGAAAACCACAGCCCTCTTAGAAGAGGCTTTTCCATCAGATTGCATCAAGATAAAGCAAAGTCACCCACTCTAATGGTCAGAACCACAGAGGTATTCCTGCTCCTGCCCTTCCTTGTCTTGGCTAGCAGACATGGTCCTCCTCTCCATTTATTGTTTCTAGAGGCCCTGAAATACTTGGTCAGCTGCTTGTACAGTAGTATGGTGAGGTGGGAAGAACTTGGGTTCTGGGTGGGAAATAAGGGGAACTGAGTTCTGATCCTGCCTTGATCAGCTGCATGACATTTTCTAGGTCTCCGTCTCCTACCTACTTAATGAAAACTTTGGAATAGATGACCTTTAAGGTGCCCTGGTGGTGCAGTGGCTATAGTTCTTGGATGCTAACCAGAAGGTGAGCTGTTTGAACCCTCCAGCTACTCCAGGGGAAACTGTGGAAGTCAATTTCTGTAATGATTGTTGTTGTTAAGTACCATTGAATCGGTTCCGACTCATAGCGACCCTGTATAGGGTTTCTGAGGAGCAACTGGCAGGTTTGAACCACCCACCTTGTGGTTCATAATGCAGTGCTGATCCACAGCACCACACCAGGAGTCCTCTGTCTTAGAAATCCTATGGGGCAGTTCTACTCTGTTCTGTAGGGTTGCTGTGAGTTGGGGGCAACGGGTTAAGGTCCTTTCCATATTCAACACATGGGTTTCCTTCTTATTCACAACGGCAGGCAATCATTAAGGTTTTACGTGAAGAGAAGGAAGAATAGGGAATTGTAAGGAGAGGTGTAGAAGTCACTTTTAAAATTTTGTCTGTTCTTTTTTACTTGGTTCTTACAAATTCAAAGATTTGATGTCTGTAAGAATAACACTACAAAGCTCAGAGCTGCCTGTGGTATTCAGTTAGGTGGATTGACTCAGTCACAATAAAACTTGAAATAATAGATAGGCTGAGTAACAGTGAGGTGGAGTTCTTTAGTGAATTATATATATATATATATTTTTTTTTTTTTTTCTCTCTCAAAGTTTTTTCCCTCCCAACAAAAGGCAGATAGTTGGTTTTCTCATCAAATTGGAACCTGCAGTGCTGTAGGGTCATTTTCTGAACAGGATCTGTTGGGTCTGAGCACCTACGTTGGAAATGTCTCAATGCCAGAGTCTTCCAGGGAAAGCAGTAGGCCCACTACTGCTATAGCTGTTGGCACACAACAAGAATGGGAAGACACCAATCGTTTGCTGGGTGAGGGCATCTCGACTTACCCTGTTTTTGTTTTTTTCTCCTCAAGAACTCTCTTTCCCAAACCAGCCTAATGGATGCTCTACAAGCTCCAGACCCTTAAAAGATTTGTAACCTTTCAAAGCCCACAGAGAGCAGAGGTGTCCTGGTGTCCTGGGCCAGATAAGATCTTTAACTGAGTCAATTAAGTGACATTGGAATGGCCCAAGAGAATGAGAGAAGGTAGGTAGATGCAACAGAAGGGCAATGATGTGTGTGTGTGTATGTGTAGGCATCAAGGGAGTTGGTGGTATCCAATCCATGTCTATTGAATTATGGATGAATGAATGGTGTAAGGTAGCTGTGAAGGTAGATAGACATTTCTTCAGTTTGAACTGATATTAAAGATTACTTATGCAGCTGTCTTAAAAGTATTCTTCTCTTCTAAAAGACAAAACAGCTAAACAGACAAACAAAACAATGCATTCTGATGGAACAAATGGTTAATGCAGGCTTTACTATAGGACCAAGGAAGAAGGGCCTTTCTTTACATCACTTTTTAATGACCTTGAGCTCCACCCTCCCATGCCCCAGGGCAGCTCCCTAGACATAGCCCGCCTGCTGTTCTGGAGAAGAGCTTCTGTTGGGCCAAGATGAGGACACACTGAAGTCACTTGCCTGGTCTCTCCTGGAGGGCCCTTGCTCCCTGGCTTGTGGGCTCTGTGCCTTGCCTTTCTCCTCCACTTCCAAGTTCCTTCTCATGAAGAACTGCAGTTGCCGAGCTCTCTTGAGCTGCTCTATATGCTGTATCCTCAGGGTTTTGCCCACCAGGCGGCAAGTGGTCATGTTTCGGCGGCATCGGCGGCTCTCACGGGTCTCCTGCCAGCGCTCACACTTGGCCTCGTAGGTCTCAGCCCACCGGGCCAAGCCAGGGGAGGGCCTGGGGCCTGGGCTGATCATGATGACCTCCTGAGCACCTGTTGTACTTGGGTTCCAGCTCCTGGAATAGCTGCCTGGAGCTGCCAGATGGCAAGAGGGAGGAGAAATGGTGAGGTCAGAAGATGGGCAGAAAAATTCCCGCCTCCCTGGACAAGGGGGCAGAAATAGTGCCACGTTGCAAACATGAGGAGGTGATGGTGTCAGAGTGGGTGCCAGGCCTCCTATGCGAATCCTACTTTTATCTAGCCCATACCTTGTGTTCTTTAAAGGGAGAAGGGTCTCTATGGCCACTACTTTTTCCTATACTGAACATGAGACACGATAAAACTCATAATGCACTCCTAGCTTTCTGAATGGTGGTATAGAGGGATGTTCAAAGTATTCATACCAAGGGACTTCTAGTTGGTGCTGTCGCTCAGTGCCATCCAGTCAGTTCTGAATCATAGCAATCCTGTATGGGGTTTCTGACGAGCAGCTGGTGAGTTTGAATCACTGACCTTGTGGTCAGCAGTCCAGAGCTGATCCAGGATCAACTAAACTGGTTATTCGATTGCAAGATAGAAGGAAAGTCAGCAGCTGGAATACTCTCTTGGCCTAAGTTGTTACTGAAATAAGTGAGTGACTTCTCAAGGCCTGGAGGAATAAGCAGACTCCCTCCACATCCACTGCTCTGGTCTTGACCCTTTGTTAAGTGGCTTGTGAACCTAGTCCCAGGCATGGTTTAGGGAGGGCAAACCTTACCCTGCTTCCTTCATTATGAAGTTCTTCAGTCAGTCCACTGACACCCCACTCTCAGCCCAGGATCAAACTCAGACTCTCAGCGTGGATCAAATCAGTACTGGCTGAGCACCTGCCACTTGTCCAATGCTGTCCAGATCCATTTCAGAGCTTCGGGCTCAATAACGCTCCCAACTAAATATTGTTTTTTTTTTAAATATGTGTGTTTAGGGTCACCTTCCTAACAAAGCTAAGGCTGGTGCCAAGACTGCTTTCCTGAGCCCACTAATCTTCCCAAACCAGGTACAGAGTCCCATCAAAACCAGTAACCCCATGACTCATACCTCAACCAAGATCTTATAAATAATAGCCAAACAAAAACAACAGCCAGTAACTAAAGTCTCCAGGGACCCAAGTGCAATGTAGAGGCCACACTTGAGGACTCTTTGCATGGGTTTTACTGTCCACCATTCAGAGCACCTCTGTGCCCTTCACTCTATTTCCTACCCTCCCCACCCACTTTCTGCAAATGTGCTAATTTTCTAGTACACATTGGTGTACTGAGCATTGGCAATTCTATCCTCCTTCCACGATGGATGGAGTCAGACTAGTGACTGATATGGAAGTGGGACTCCCCCTGGAAGCCACTGTTTGTCTTCTCCCCTCAACTTCACTATCCACTACGCTGGGGGCCTTCATTCCTGGGGAGGTCAGAGAAGGGAATCTCAGCTTCACCAACCACATGGCGCTTTCCAGATGGGGTCCCTTGTGCTTATTTATGGGCCAAACTGACTCAACAGGCAACTACCTTTCTACCCCTTTGTTGTACGTTTGCTGCTTAGTCTGGAGCTCTGTGCAGGAGAGTTCTTGCTGTCTGTTTGGTCATGCTATCCATTCCCCAGAGTCATGAGTGGGACATTCTCACTGCCTGAGAGAGGTCTTAGGTGGCCAAGCCCTGGATGGGTTCTCAAGTGCCTGGCCTTCGAAAGTTTGAGGAAAACACTTGTCTCTGGCAGTCTTAATCCCAAGTAGAATTGTGAAATTGTCAGTGTTTTCCCTCTGTGTACCATCACTGAATGGCTCCGTCATTTCTTCAGACTTCTTTCCTTACCCCTATTCTGTGGGAGTCTTTTCCACTCACCTCTTTTTTTATTTAAAAACTGAAGTAAAATCTCAGAGAGGCTTATCTCACCTCACCTCCATATTCAGAATTATACAAGTGGCATCCCTAAGCCATAACACCATGGCCCTTCTGCCATAGGTAATGGGTTAGTGTTGTTGTTAAGTGCTGTTGCATTGGTTCCCACTCAGAGTGTCCCTGTAAAGAATTTCTCAGGAGTGGCAAGTAGTTTGAACCACCTACCTGTGGTTAGCAATCCAGTGCTTATCCTACAGTGCCACACCAGGATTCCAGGTGCTGGATAAGAGCCCTGATTCTGGAGTCAGACTGTGTGGATTCATGGCCTGATTCTGTCACATTCTACCTGTGTGTTTTTTAATATGCTGCTAAACCTCCTTAAGCTTTCATTCCCTCATTTGTGATATGGGGCTAGTATTTACTTAGTAGGAGTCCTAGTGTGGTGCTGTGGGTTAATGCGCCAGACTGCAAAGCTGTTTGAATTGCAAGGTCAGTGGTTCAAGCTCACCAGCTGCTCTTCGGAAACCTTATACAGTGTGACTATGGGTTGGAGTTGACTCAACGACACTTAATAAATGTTAGCTTTTTGTAGTAATAAATGTGAGCTTTTATCATTACTACTCCCTCCGTAATGATCTTGGATACTCTTGAAGACTCAGTGCTGAGAGGAAAACATTCCAAACTAGCCTTACACTCTCTCAGGACCCCAAATGCCCTGTTCTCTAATTCTCTCACCCCTCTCTGTCTCTTTGAAGGAATACTATTTACAAGATTAAGGGGGTGATTGCCCCAGCTTGAAATAAAATTTACTTCTCCAATTTTCCTGGCCTCTGTTTGGACCACAAAGAGAAAGGACTGCTCTGTGAACTGAGCACCATTACAGTCTCGATTAGGCAGAGAGAACTGGTAAGGGTGAAGAATTGAGCTTCAGCTGGCCTGAATCTCTTCCTTCAGATGTAGAGTTCTAGGTCTTCTCCCATTTGGCCCCAGGTTATCTTCAGGCTTTGTAGTGGAGGTGGATCCTCTTACCTCCTGTCACTTCTTGAAGAAGAAAGGGCTGGTGGGGGAGAAGATGGGGAAGCTGAGAAGGCAGGATTTCTCTAGTCTCTCCACCTAGGCTGGGTACGTTAGTGCCCTGAGACAGATTAGATATCGAAACTCATGGCCCAAGTGGGGAGCTGTGGTAGAAACGGTTCCTTAGAGAGGACAGCATTCTTAAGTCCCTAGACCACCACATCTGGTGAGACACAGATGAGTGGATGTAACCATTCTGACTTGTTTAAAAATAGCAGGATGGCTGATTGGCAAAGATAGTTTGTGGAAGAACATGGAACTGGCCACTGTGGGGTTCAATGAAAGGTCACTGGGCGATCGCCCAGGCTTTCTGGAATGTCAGATCCTGGAAAGATTTCTCTGGCCACTACTTCTTCTTTGACTAAAGTAGCATGACTGGACCCAATTGGAAGTTGGAGGAAGAGAGAGGAAAACACTCAGGGCGGTTGTGTTTCATCTGAGAGGGGCTTATGCCCGCCTCTCCAAGTCTCTGCTCCTACTTCCTGTCTATGTGTGCAACAGAGACAGTGGATGGCTTCCTGCACTGGTTTGGTCTTCCTAACCAAGAACTCTCAGTTGAGCTGACAAGAGAAGGACCAGTGATCTAAGCTGCTAGAATGACAGCTTTGTGTTATGGGCATCCTGATTTCATGGGAACCATAAAATGTCCTTTAATTTATGCTCCTGTCACTGAGTAGTCTGAATCCACAGTCTTTTGACGTGTTTGCTTAGAATCTAATCTAGTGGATAGAGTAGAGGATTGATGGAAGCCTTGATAATGCCTCTGGAAACCAACATAGTACCCTTTTTGGTTACCCAAATTTCAGATACTCTTAAACTCTGCCACCCACTTCTATGTCTCTCTCTTCAATTCAAGACAGTCTAGAGGACAGAATGTCGTTTTCCTCTCTCCCCGCCCTTTGCAAGCTCAGAGGCCCCAAACTAAGACACAAAGCCATCATCAGTTACCTTCGGATCCCAAGCTCCAATTCCAGCAGCTCAGGAAAGCTCAGTAGCAGTTGGACAGATCTTGGCTCTGGTCTCAGATGGGGCAAGACAGCAACTGAGTGAAATGCAAGCTCTCAGTCCATGGCTCTGGGCCCCATAGGCATTTCCCTTCTTGGTAATGTCTTTCTTTTTATACTTCAGCCTTGCTGAAACAGGAAACAGACAAAGCCACAGTACTCACAAACCCCAGTTCCTCTCTCTTGCTCGCTGTCACTATCTGAATGGGCCCCAGAACTCTTGAGGCCTCCAGGGCTGGACTCAGGAACTCCTCCCATCATTGGGCACCTTGGTCACCCTTTCTCTTGCTGCTGTGTTGGTCTAAGCTAATCCAGTTGCTAGTCAACTTGACTTATCCCAGGATGAGTCAAGGATGTTTCTGGGTCAGAAATTCTACTTTCTGTGACGTAGAACCTAGAAGAGATGTTCCCAGTGTAGGTTTTACTCATATCGGGTATAAAGCTCTGCATAAAGCTTTTGTCTTTCCTTCAGTCACCAGGGTGATTCCAACCCTGGTGTTGTAAAGAGTTTCTTCTCTTCTAAAATACCTACTGTCTTTCTCAGAATTTTAGACTGAGGTCAGCTCTGGGTTTGGTTTTATTTTGAGGCAGTGAGGAGGCATTGAAAAGTGGTGATTGTGACTGACAAATGAAGGGAGGAGTATTAGCCAGAGTCTTTTTTTTAGATAACTTAAGACAACAGAAATATAATCTTTCACAGTTTTGGAGACCAGAAGTCCAAAATCAAGATATCAACAGGGCCACATTCTGTCTGAAGGCTCTAGGGGAAAACTCTTCCTGCTTTGTCCAGTTTCTGGTGGTTGCTGACAACCCTTGGTATTCCTTCCCTTGAAGGAGCATCATCCCAATGTCTGCTTCCATCTTCACTTGGTCATATTTCCTGAGGGCTGTGGCTCTTCTCCTCCATTTTATTTGTTAAAAAATGTTATTGTGATAAAATATATTACAAAACACAGACCAACTCAATAATATCTACATGTACAATCCAGTGACATTGTACAACCGTTCTATGTGTTTCAAACCATTCTATGTATTCCAAACCAGTCCACCACCATTAATGTAACTCAGTGCACTCTAAGCAAAAATTC